ATACTGGAAATAAAATTTTTTTGACGAAATTTGTTACAAATTTCTTTTAAATTTCAATAAAAAAAACATTTGTTTACCGTGGTATTAAATAAGGATTATCTGTTTTACTATCCATAATTTTTAAATAAATATTACCATCATTTCTTAATAGGATTCGCTTGAATTTGAAGATAGCGGTCGGTAGAATTTTTCCGGATTTCTCAAAATTTGCCTTTTTAACCAGCCTCAGAATTTAAAGACAACATTTGACTAATTCAATTTAAAATTATACCACAAATGCTCTGAATCGAATTCTAATGCAACATTCGTGCTGTTTACTTCATTTCTTAAATTAAATAAGACTATGTAAAAACGATGTTAATCTTGGTAAAACATTTTAAATTGAGTAGCATTCAGATGAACTTAGTAGGACATTCACTAGAGGCTAGATATAGTTTTTAGAGTTCAATTAATCTGAAATTCCATGAATATTGCTTCGTTTAGCACAAAAAAAGTATTTTAAAAGTACACAGCATATCGCGATGTTTAAAAGCATAAAGATATATATATTGATTATCAATAAACAGTTACAAATATCAATGGTTAATCAACATACTAGCAACTGATGTTTTGCACATTTTTTTAATTGTTGAAAATTAAGGATAGTTGGAAAATAATATGTTTATTTTAGAAAGAGATAAAATTTTAAAATATTTCACATGTTTACTCTGAGGTTGCCAATTTAAGTAATTTTTCTGTTGATGCGTTTACATAGCTCAGGAAAGTTTTGATTTCTTTAATATTGCTTCTGCTGTCTCTGAATGACTGATGCATGCACACATACACGGCAGACACACTTACTTAAATCATGTTTGAAACGACATTAAATTTCTTTGTATATTCTCTCTTTGTATTCAATTCGCTTTTTGGAAATACTACATTATTATTTAAATCTCTCTACACTCTAAAAACTGTACCTCTGATTTCAGAGGCACATTTGAATCATTTGTGCCTCTGAATTTTAAGGGCACAACGTACCTTTAAAAATGAAAGGCACAATGTACCTCTGATTTCAGAGGCACATTTGGATCGTTTGTGCCTCTGAATTTTAAGGGCACAACGTACCTTTAAAAATGAAAGGCACAATGTA